TAGCTATTCCGGTAGTGACGTGGATCTTTGTTTTAGCTTTGGAATCCAGGTAGGGGAAATAAGGCAAACCTTTACGGAAATTGATTTTATTAAATTTCATGAAGTGCTATAATATTCTTGATTTTTTTGGTTGATTAATGTGATTGAATATTAATTAGCTAATTGCTTCGGTTAAGTGTTTACTTGTTATTGATTATGGAATTATTGCTTGAATGCTATTTGTTGAGAATATATTGTGATATATGTGAAAGATGAAATGACATATTTGTGCATCACTCATGTTGTGAGATGTGGTTGGAATTTCAGTGTTGAGATTGGAATTCGGGAAATGAGGATAGTTGGAAAGATCTTTTGTGTAGTTGAATCTATTCATTGTAAAACCAATTCCAGGCGAGCCCGGCATGCACATTAGAATAGGATATCGACAGGAATTTTCGATGTGGGTGATTTGGGCTAGAAATCAATGAATTAGATAAGATGACAAGCAAAAGAGGTTTATGAACTTGGGATATCGTATGGGGGTTAGTTTCTACAATAAAACATTCGAACCACCATTGCAATGGTAAAATGCATGGTATGGGACGTGCAGGCCCATGTGTTTTATTATATAAATTAACGGGGGTAGCCGAAGAGGTTGCATTGCATTCATTCATTGTTATCAATAATAATTCGATATTTGGCTATATGATTTCATGACACTTAATTTAGTCTTATCAATTTACTGTGATAAGGTTATGTCCCTACTGAATTGTTGAAGCTCATCCCTTTATTGTTATGCAGGTTTACGAAATAAACATTTAAAAGGGTAGGCAAGATGAGATTAGATTGGAGTAGAGAAAGTTTATTCATCTATTTACTGTAGGTTGTAAAGAATTCTTGATTTGTTTACGAATCATGAATTATTTTTATAAGAGGAATTTATTTTCCAACCCCTTTCAATTTCCGGTTATTTATTAAGTTTTTAACTCACGTTTCGGATTCAGGTTCGAGTTTTTATTACCGACCTCGAGTTCGGGGCGTAACAATTACGCCCAACCTTTTCTTTTTTATTTTTTATAAAACAAAGTAATGCAAAAGAAGGTAACTATAATGCAAAAGAAGGTAACTAAGGTTCTTATTAGTCGTTTTACAAATGGACAAATTTGTAACTAAAACATTCATTAAAATGTGGGTGAGAAGATAAGATATTGGAATGAGAATAATAACTCTCTTCTCTCTAAACTTCACAATGTTCATCACTAGTTGCTTTAACCGTCACTGCCAATCATATCAGACCAGCTGGTTGTCCTTCCTAACCTACCCCGCCTCCACTTCTCCAATAATACCTTCTTCCAACAATTTCAATTCCTGATATCTAGATTCTCCTCTTCGATTCGACTCAGGGATGGCACGAGATGCTTCAATCACCACTGCTAAGTTTCTCTATTTTTCTATTCGAAGTAAGAATTTCTGAGGAAACTGGGTGATTTCTCGAATGTTGGGAGTTTTCCAAGGAAATTTGAAGGTTTTGGAAAATGGGTTTTCGTTAATTTAATGTAAAATGAAAATCTATTGATGGACTATTGGAATTGAAGTGATTGGTTTGGTGTTCCTTGAAGGACATTCAAATTCTTCAATTTTTCAGAAAATTACATACATTGTATGTACATTACATGCACATGCTATGCTCACAAATCTGAGCTCAACTTAAAAATTCAAAGTTCACAGCTCTCTCTTTGAAATTAGAAAAAAGACTCCATCAACTGTGAGTTTTTTCAATTTATATATGAATCCTTTTGTCATTTCGCTTTTGCGTATGGTGTGCGTGGCTTGTGCATGACCTGACTTAAAAAATGGATCACTTATGGCTTAGGATTAGGAGAAATTTACGAAATATGCCATTTTAAAGTGTTTCAATATGGGTTTTTTTTTTTATTCCTGAATTTTGCTGGGTTAGCTTTTTCCTGTTTCTTGTTTCTTTTTTTTTCCCCCCCTTCCTTGATGGGATTTACGATTCTACTTCTTCTTTTTGTTTATTTTTGCTTTATGAAATTTTTTTCGGATAATGTTAGATAGATCAAATTTTAAACTTAATTTGTAAATTAAATGATGTTTCACCAAAATAAGCATGTTAATCAACATTTAATGATAATCCAATCATCAATAAGCACATTATTTAATTTACAAAATTTAGTTTGAAAATTTGGTCTTCCTTCTCTTCTTTGTAGTATATCATAAATCCAGTTTTTTGTCATTAGGTTTTTTACTTAAAATGAATATTGATATTGGGTTCTTCATAAAATCGCAGGTTATGCTCTTAATCTGTGATATAGGTAGAAAATCAAATATAATTATGTGCTAACTGGTTTTAAGGGTGTTTATCTACCTACATTATAGGCTTTAATTTTTTATTTTATACAAGCAAAAATGCATGCGTAATGCTATGGGTTTTAAGACTGTTTAAGATTTTCCGACTTCACTATTCCCAGGCTGATCTTCATATGTAGAGGTGTTTTCGCTTCTGAATTTTTCCCAACAAGGGTTGGATAAACACAATCAATTCAACAATTTCATAACCAAATAACCTACAATATAATCAACTAACACAAAACCATCCAACTGTTCTTTTACTGACATATTGGTTACAATAAGCATAGCATGATTGTATGCAGTGAACTTTCAATTTTTATGCAAATTACTCTCAATCTTTTAGTTCAAATTACCAATGTATGTGAGATGCCCTCCCACATATGAAATTTTGACTCCATCACTAGTCTACACCTAAACTCTCCAACCCTTTAACATAGGCTATAGGGGAGCCCAATAGAGTGGCCTAGCAACTGGGTAGAGTGACGTCAGCCATGTTCCAAAACATTTTTGCACCAAGCATGTCAAAAACACATCCAAGTGCGGGTGCGTCCCTGACAGGACTTAAGCACGCAAGCGCACTAATGGCTCTGGAAAAAGGAACAATGTGGTGAAAACTGGGTTGTTGGATTTCCAACTATTATTTTTGGACTGTTGGATTTCAAAGGGTAAAAAAAATTTGAAATTCAACCCCAATGGCTAGATGATGTGTCACAATCTAGACCATTAGATTTTCATATCAACGATCCATACTTTTCAGGCTTAAAAAAAAAAATCAGAAAAATTGGAATTGTTACCGTTGGAATATGTGTCACAATTTTGGCTATTGGATTTCAATTTTTTTGTAATCCAACGATCCAGATTAATTAAGTTAATAAAATTTATAAAAAAATTATTAAAAAAGAAAAAAAAATAATTATAACTTTTTTTCTATAAATACCTAACCATACATTTCCACCTTACACCAGACTTCAATATTTTCAAATACTTTCAACAAATCTTTCTCTCAAAGTTTTCATATACTTTTGTTTGCAAAAAAAAGAAAAAAAAAGGCTAATAATGAAGGTTTGAATTGGTTGATCATTGAAGATGTTACTTTGTGTGAATGTTGGGTTTGAGCCACTCATGACCTGATTACGAGTAATGAGCAGAGGTTGCGAGAACTTTGAAAGACGGTGCATATTGTTTTGCGAGGCACTTGGCACCAGAAGCACGGATCAATCTCTTCAAAGTCGTTGGAAAATACTCAATCTATCACTTACTAGTTGGAGAAACACTTGACAACTAGTTATAATCTTTGAAGAGGCAAAAATTTAGCGATCAGGTGACAATATTTTATTTATTTATTTGTACTACACCCAAATTGACATTAATTAGTTTGATTAGAAGGAATGTCTTTGGATTCTAAATATTTTTGGAGATCAGAAAAAGTAAACGTGGTGCGAATAAGGCATGCAAGAGAAGAGGGACTAAGTGGAGATGATCCTAGCACCACAAATTCGTCAGGTTGTTTGTAGGGAATTTGGTGTAAAATCGGATCCCATAATTTTCCATTTAATTTGGGTTGTAGTTTCGTATTTATTCAATTGGATACGTTATTTAAATTCAGTAAATCGTTATATAAACCAAGAGCATCGTTATTCCAAACAGCATAAATAACACACTAAATAAAAAATTAAAAATTCATTATTATTTTATTTCTTTATAAAAAATATTATTTTATAAAAGAATATTAATAGTTTAATACGAATTGTTTGGCTATTCAGTTTAAGAATGGAAATTCTCTCAACGGTTATTATTCACTAATAATAATTATTGTTTATTAAAAGGAATTAGGTTGCATATAACCTAGGAGATTGTTTAGTATGGATGACAATTCTAACTGTTAAACTCGATAACCGTGGATAACCGCTCGAATGAATTGGATTTGGATATGAAAATTAGGGTATATTTTGGATATGGGAAAAAACTGTGAATAATATTCAGTTATGATTTTGGATATGGTAATAGGAGTTCCCAATCCATTTCCGTCCTTGAATCCGAATCGAATTATATATAATATAATTATATACAATATAATAGTAATTATATATGATATATTGCACTGTGTGAGTTGCATTTTGTGGGTAATTTAAAAAGTTTTGATATGAATCAATATCGATGAGAATCCACTCCAATAGTATTTATGGGAGATATCAAAGATCAGCCCACATTATCAATGTTTAGCGTTAATTTTTATACTCCACAAGATTCATTCATTAAATCATTTTATAAACAAGATCCATTCATTAAATCATTTTATACATAAAATATTTAATGATGAAATTAATGTTTACTAAATTATTATACGTCAATTGAACGGATATGGATATAATGTTCGTTATTCGGTGGGTATGATAATGGATAATAGCCGATGATTAATTGGTGGTTACGGATATAATTAATTTTTATGATTATAGAGATCTATATAGCATTTTTGTTCCAAACTAAACCGTTGCTATTCCTATTGTTTAGGAGTGGAGCCACTCTTGCATGGTGCGAGGTGTCAGAGGCTTGGGCACGTGGATGCCACATCAATGGCCCACATCATTAACCTTTTTCGTATCGGATATGAAATCCGGTTTTAATAATGTAGCTCGGTCGTCGTCATTGACGCACCTGTTTTTCTCTTGTAAGCAACAAAAACGTTTTCTTTTACTCAAAAACTCAGCCCAAAATTAACCGAAGATCCCGAAATCTGAAAACTCGTATGTTTCTTCTGGGTTTTCTGGGCGTTCCGTTCTGTTCGTTAACTTTCCGGAAATAGAAACTTCCATCAAACAAAAGATTTTGTCGGATAGGTAGCGGAGTGGCCTCTCTCTCTCTCTCTCTCTCTGCCACCTTATCCACATGTTTGTAAATTTCTACCCAATCCGAATCCCATTCAATCTAATCGAGGCGGCGTCACCACACCGATATCTTTATCCCTTCACACTTCCCAAAAACTCCCATAATTCAATCCAATCCAATCAATTGGGTGGTATTTTAGGTTTCGTTAATCCAATCCCGTCACCTGTTATTTGTTGTTTGCAATTTCAATTTCTGATCTGAGAACCCTTTTGTTTGTTAATTTGATTGCCTTGGGGATTTGATCAAGTTCATAGGGCTTTTTGTTGGGCAAGGATTTGGAAAGTACCCACCTAGCTGTTAAGCTGGTGGGGTTGCTGGGAATTTGGGGATTTGGGGTCAAAGTTTGTGTCTTTTGAATGCGTTCGGCAGAATTCTCTGGGATTTGGAAAGCTTCAAAGACGTGGAAAATTGGTAATATTTCATCTGCAACTAGTTTTTCAATGCATTTGAGCTAAAAGGTTGAAGCATTAGATAATTCTGTTGTTGAACATTTTGAATCATTGTGCTCTTAGTTCTTCATACATCCAGGATTGTTTTGTTATTCTTTCGAAAACATTGAGGGCTCGAAAACCGTATTGTAGTTGTAAAGTCTGTTGTAGATTTTATAGCTCTTCAGCTTTGTTGCCATAGAAATAGAAATACAGAGATTTTACTTACTCTGGAAACATGGACATAAGTAATGAGGCCAGTGTTGATCCGTTTCCAATTGGACCTTCAACCATTGTTGGCCGGACAATCGCTTTCAGGGTTTTATTTTGCAAGTCAATGTCACATCTGAGGCATCAAATATTTCGTACGTTTTTGAGTCTTGTCTATAGATTCAAAAACTTTTTGGCTCCCATGTTCTCATGGTTGCATCCTCGAAACCCTCAAGGGATATTGGCAATGGTGACAATCATTGCTTTTTTGTTGAAACGATACACGAATGTCAAAGTCAAGGCGGAAATGGCTTATCGGAGGAAATTTTGGAGAAATATGATGAGAACTGCATTGACCTATGAGGAGTGGGCTCATGCCGCTAGGATGCTTGATAAAGAGACACCAAAGATGAATGAATCAGACCTTTATGATCAAGAAGTAGTTAGGAACAAGCTTCAAGAGCTCCACCACCGTCGTGAAGAGGGTTCGCTCAGAGATATTATGTTCTGCATGCGAGCGGATCTTGTTAGAAATCTCGGTAACATGTGCAACCCTGAGCTTCACAAGGAGAAACTTCATGTTCCCAAACTCATTAAGGAATACATTGATGAGGTAACAACTCAGTTGAGAATGGTTTGTGATTCGGACTCAGAAGAGCTCTCGTCAGAAGAGAAGCTGGCTTTCATGCATGAAACAAGGCATGCTTTTGGGAGAACTGCCTTGCTGTTGAGTGGGGGTGCTTCTCTTGGATCTTTCCATGTCGGTGTTGTTAAAACACTGGTCGAACATAAGCTTTTGCCAAGAATAATCGCTGGTTCCAGTGTAGGATCCATTATGTGTTCTGTTGTTGCCACTAGGTCTTGGCCTGAGCTCCAGAGCTTTTTTGAAGATTCTTGGCACTCATTGCAGTTTTTTGATCAAATGGGCGGGATTTTTACAGTTGTCAAGAGGGTCATGACACGTGGGGCAGTTCATGAGATCAGGCAGTTGCAAATGATGTTAAGGCATCTAACAAGTAACCTGACATTTCAAGAAGCTTATGACATGACAGGTCGAATTCTTGGGATAACTGTTTGCTCCCCAAGGAAGCATGAGCCACCTAGATGCCTTAACTACTTGACTTCACCTCATGTTGTTATATGGAGTGCAGTGACAGCTTCTTGCGCTTTTCCAGGCCTTTTTGAGGCTCAGGAACTAATGGCAAAGGATAGAAGTGGAGAGATTGTTCCATATCATCCTCCATTTAATTTGGGTCCAGAGGAGGGGTCGATGCCAGTGCGTAGGTGGAGAGATGGTAGTTTGGAGATAGATTTACCTATGATGCAGCTGAAAGAACTGTTCAACGTTAATCATTTTATCGTCAGTCAGGCAAATCCTCATATTGCACCATTGTTACGGCTAAAGGAATTTGTGAGAGCTTGTGGAGGCAACTTCGCTGCTAAGGTATTCATTGATAGACCTCCGTTCAGAGTCTTTTGAAATTTATGATTTTGTCCTTTTTTTTTTTGCATTCTCTCGCTGTCATTTTATTTTGCTAATTAGGAATATGAAAGGTTAAGGGCTTGTCAACACGCATCTGCCATCTTAATGCTGCTTTTCTTTTCCGTACCTAAAAACTTTGTAGAAGTTAGAAGGGAAACGTGATGTTTTCATATAGCTGATGAAATGTTGTATGATTATCTATCACTAAATGTATCCTCAGTAGCAAGCCGAAAAGAATAGGTGATCCTCAGTTGGGATAACAAGTAATGCAAAAATCTTGGATGTGTCACTTAGATGTAGTTAGATTTGTAATGGCTTAATAAATATTTGTTTTGAACTAAGCTTCTGGCCACATCTTTACGGACTTATCCAGTGGCTTTGCAAATAGTCGTCTTGGTCAATTGAATTAGTCTATCATCTTGGTTAATGAGTAAGCACCTTATTGACAGTATACGAACATTAAGCTAGAATTTCTAATCATTTGGGCATTTGTTTGTAATTTTTTTTTTCTTTTTTTTTTAATTCTGTTGGGTCTGTTACATGATTTTGTTACGTTGACACTCTGATGAGATGAGTATTAATCAATTTTAGTATTTAACTGTGTAGCTTGCTCATCTTGCTGAAATGGAGGTGAAGCATAGATGTAACCAGATCCTGGAGCTTGGTTTTCCATTAGGTGGAATTGCCAAGCTGTTCGCTCAAGATTGGGAGGGTGATGTTACTGTTGTAATGCCGGCCACACTTGCTCAGGTACGTGGATAAAGTAGTAATTTTTGATGGTCAGAGTATCAGCTAGGGAATAACTACTGAATTAGGATTGGTCATCGTTTCCACGGAACCTTAAATTAAAGTTCTTTTTAAAACTTCCGTTGTTGGCCAAGTCAAGTTTACCAAATTTTGTTGAGGACTATTTTGAAGATACCTTTCTATTTTCTTTAATCATCTGGATCATTTTTAATAATCCTTGATGGAGACTAACTAACGTTTTGTTTTTCTGACATATTTTCCAGTACTCAAAAATCATACAAAATCCAACATATATTGAGCTTCAAAAGGCAGCCAACCAAGGTAGAAGGTGCACTTGGGAGAAGCTCTCGGCCATAAAAGCAAATTGTGGCATTGAGCTTGCTCTTGATGAGTGTGTTGTAATTCTCAACCACATGCGTAGACTCAAAAGGAGTGCAGAAAGAGCTGCGGCTTCTTCTTCTCATGGCCTAGCTAGTACAACCAAATTCAGTGCATCTAGGAGAATTCCATCTTGGAATTGCATTGCTCGAGAAAATTCAAGTGGTTCCCTTGAAGAAGACCTCATTGGAGATGGTGGTTCCTCATTCCATCATGGTGTTGGCGCATCTACCAGTGGAGTTCATTCTGGTAAAAGTTTTCAAACCCACCGTAATTTATATGATGGAAGTGACAGTGAATCTGAGAGTGTCGATTTCAATTCTTGGACAAGATCTGGTGGACCCTTGATGAGGACAACGTCAGCAAATAAGTTCATCGACTTTGTTCAAAATTTGGACATTGATGCTGAATTGAACAGAAGTGTGCTGACAAGTCCGAAGTCAATGATGGTTCAGATGGGAGGCAATAACCATTATTATCAAAGCTCAAGAGGTACAACACCAGAAAGAAGTCCTGAAAGCATAAAATTTGACAAGAGGGAGTTTGGAAGCATGGTTTCAGGAAACGGTTCTAGCATTACGGTGACTGAAGGTGATCTCTTGCAGCCTGAAAGGATACATAATGGAATTGTATTCAATATTGTGAAGAAAGAAACATTTTCAAGTGGGAGTAGTCATGACTTGGAAAATTACGGCAGTGAAGTAGCTGAATGTGTGCAACTTGACAGTCCGGAAAAGGACATGGATGCTGGGTCTGTATCTGAATATGGTGATGCCGATATCACTTCAGAAGCCTTCTTAAATGAAACGGAACCTAATTGCCAGTCGGTGGATCAACCTAAAGTAGATGATTGTATTCATCAGAGCACTGTGGATGGCTAATTTTAAGGTACGTTTTGCTCAGATATGGTATTCAACAATTTGATTTGAAATAAATACTAAGAGCAGTGCTTGAAGTTTACATTTTAGCATTGCACTGATTTGCTTCTGCAGTAATTAGTAAAAGAAATTGATCTTGAGCTCTGCATACATGTAGGCCTTGACTCTGTAAATTACTTGGATTCACAAGTTGTACACAAATGTGATTCATATGGATCAATGAATGAAAAAAAAACAATTCTCTCTCTCTCTCTCTCTCTCTCTCTCTCTCTCTCTCTCTCTCTCTATCTGCCTGTAACTTTACTTGATTCCATCAAAACATACTTATAAAGCATAGTCCTTAAGAAATAAAACAGTCCATCAGGCGTAGTAAATTCCCCATTAGTGGTTGAGCAGTTCGAAAACAGGATTGTCAATAAAAGTTGCAATTGGAAATTGTAGAAATGTTCTGTTGGTCATCAGGTGACCAGCGAATGCGTGGTCGATTGCTCACCCTTATATTTACTACCAATATTTGGAAACAAATAGATGTGCTTTCAATGTTTTATTCTTGCCCCCTAATGTCAAATCCGAGGGCGGTGACTATGAATCCTGTCATGCTGATCACGATCACGAGGACAAAGATGAGAAACTAAATATTGCAGAACCACTTTTGATAAAATATTGCACAACTTGGCCCCTTAAACACATTTCATGTGTGCACTTAATCCGACGGGGATTTAGTAACCAAATGAAACGTCAAATGACACTAACACGTTGTCTTTGATATCATGGGGAAGCACTTTGTTGTTTTGGTATCCTGATCATGTTGGGAATACACATCAATTCTTTACCCCCAAATTTTGCAGGCCTTTAGGAGTAGGCCGGAAGTTGAACATCGTGGTTGGTTGATTGCGGACGGGTCACTACTAGTTGCTGTTATAATATTGTCATCTAGTGGGGAAGGATCAATGGAGGTTATATTCTATGCCTAGAATGCTACGAACTTGGCAATCATATGTAGAGGATGGCCAACATAATATATAAAAGAAAGCAACAAAATCACATAAATGCTTCAAATTAGTGGTTGAAACTTTGATTTTAAGAAATGCGAGCGAAGGTAAGTTACGTCTTCTCGTGGAAATGCTTGAAATGGAATGAAATTATGTCTTTCTTTGAGGTTGGCTTTTAAAATATTAATCTTTGAGTGATTGATTTATTAATTGAGCTGTAAGTGCCTAATCTTTTCCTATCATTTTATAATATGTCCAATGTCTCAAAGAGAGAATTTTTTTATGGTGGTCCAAAATAAAGGATAATTGTGTCTTTTAATCGTTACATTTTGTTTGAAAAAATTCCGAACTATATGTTATTGATGCACAAAATCAGCGAGATTTTGGAACAACGTAAAATGTCAAGTTTGTGACCTTCGCTTGATTGCTCTAGTTACCTAATGAGGATAACATGTAAGAAGATAGAGATAGGGAAGCAAACACAAGATGTACGTGGTTCACCTTAAATTTGGCTAAGTTCACAGTGTAGAGGAGTTCTCATTAATAGTGAAGGGTTTACACAAATACATAGGTTCAAGCATAATCATCATTAGTAGGTTTTAATGACTAGTTTAAGTACAATAATGACATTAGAGATTAATTGTAGGAGAATGATCTTCTTTTATTGTTGAGGAGAGTCTCCGGCTTTCATCCGCGATCGATGTGCGACTCTATGAACTTTATTCTGACATTGACACGTGTCGTGCTGTGATTGGCCTCTTAGTTGGAGGGAAACTCTTGTGCTTCAGCAACAGTGCCTCACCATGAACCCTTTAGTGGGTCCTTGAAGGTGTGAAGTTGACCGGTGATTGGTAGTTTCGGGATTAGTTGAGTATGGTACAAACATATGCTATGGACAGTGTTTTGTTGGTAGCCTCTTCTCTCAAATGATAGTTTGATCTTCATTATCATGCAATTCTTTTTATGGTCTCGGCTTCGATACTCCTAGCTGGTGAGTTACTTGATTGTGGTCACAGGTAGGGTGAAATTCCCTATAGCCACCCTAAGCCGGGAAGGGATTGATAATCGTGGTTTGCCACCAGTTGTCCTATTTTTTACAAAAATAAAAATAAAGAAATAAATATATAGAATTGGTCCCTGAACTTTCACTCTAGTTTAGATTTCGTGCCTAAATTAAAAATTCATTAATTTTGGTTCATAATTTTTCACGGAGCTAACTCTAGCGATCAATACTCCATACATTTTCAAATTCAAGGACTAAATTTAAAGGAATTTTAATTTAAGGACGAAATAGAACTAAGATTAAAGTTTAAGAACTAATTCTAAATTTTAGTATAAATCATACTGGAGAGTGTTGACTTCTTTTCTTGAATAGGGGAGAGTGGGACTAATGAGCTCCAATTTAAATTTTCACATACACAACACATGACATCTAGAACCATTGGGGACACCCCTTTTGAAGTTGTTGAAATTCTAGAAGCTGAATTGGGATACCACTTATAATTTTGTATGTATCAATACTTAAAGTTCTTGATGATGCAAACCGTGTTGATTTTGGAATAACATAGACTTTCAAGGTGTGATTTTTGCAGGATTGCCTTAGTCCAAGTGTAGGTAATAAGTAAAGACATAGAGATAAGGAACCAAACACAAAATGAACATGGTTCATCTTAAGTTGGGTTACGTCATCAGGGTAGATGAGTTCTCATTAATAATGTAGATTTTAAATGATTCAAAGGTTTAAGCACAATCATCAGTGAGTCTAATAATTGATTAAGTAGACTAATAGCATCATGGATTAATTATGGGAGAATGATCTCCTTTTATAGTTGAGGAGCCCTCTATTTTCGTCTGTGGTTGATGTGGGACTTTAGTACCTTTATTTTGGTGTTGACATATGTCATGTTGTGATTGTTCACTTGGTTAGAGAGGCACGAGCCCTTCAGTAGATCCTCGAAGATATTTAGTTGATTTATGCTCAGTAGTTTTAGGATTTGTGAAGTATAATATTTAATTGGCTGATGCTTAGTAGTTTCGGGATTTGTGAAGTATTATACAAACAATACTAATTTAGTCTTCTAAGAAGTCTTTATTGTGTTCTAAAGCATCTTATTATGCTCAAGTGTTATCATTCGTTAAATTTTAGTTACTGTATCTTTGATCAATGATCTAACGATAAAAACATAGAAGCATAGAGTACCTAGAATGTGTTAGAACTAGAGAATCTCAGTCTCTTACGGGTGGAAAACACTTTTTGTCTTTACTACAACGATAATTTATACTAATTTACATTAAAAAAATATAAGGTGGGCATCCTAACCGCTCAAGTTGTCCACCACTTGTAAAAAGAATGAAAAATACAACACGAAGACTTCTGAGAAGAGGACGTAACACGAGGACTTCTTAGGAGCAAAATACATCGGTTAGCTGGGAAATAGATTGATTATTTAGAATCATGATCATGTGTTGGAACATAGAAAAGTAGTGGACACCAAAGAGTCAGACATCATTGTAGTTGCTTCTTTTTCTACGAATGCAAAATGCCACAGTATGTGTCGTGTGTTAAGTGTGTGTAGTATGTGGTTGTGGTGGTCCGACACCGCTGCCCACTGACTTTGGGGAAACAGGACGACGTGGGTTGTCAAAAAACAAAGTGCCCTCTCCCCCCACAGGCCAAAAGGTCGCGTCACATCACATGAATTGAATATCAAGTTGTGCGCGCCACGGTTTCCCGTGTTATTTCCGCGTGCTCGACAGTTTCCGCGTGCTGCCCATCTAACCTAGTTTATTTAAACATTCAAGTCGGCCCTGAAGCTGATTCCGTCGTTTTCACCTCGCCGACATTGTGGAACTTGAATACTCAAATCATATTCTTGGTTGAGTTGTTGCGTCTCATAAGCGCTTGCTGACTTTTGTAATAGGAAAGCGATCCTCTACAGATCTTTTTCACCAACATTATCGAATCAAGTGATCCGGATCTTCTAAATTTCATCTAATAGTTCATCTGTTTTGACCTCTTAAAAGTTGTGGTAATTTTTTTACTGTTGGATGAAATTTGGAAGATCCGGACCATTTGATTCGATAGTCTAGATGAAAAGGATCCGAAGATGATCTTTTTCCTTTATAATATACATGCTTTGACATCTGATTGCATTTTTATGACACTTTCTAAAAATAGTTTTTCTTTTATCAACTTTGTATGTGAAGAGTCCATAATGCCCTTCATTAACTAGAAGGGGGGCAAAACGCAACGATGCATTGACTCTGCTGGTTACATGGTGTTCCAGAGTTCTTCACGGCTCCGAAATTGGTTAGTCAAGGTACAGCAACCAAAGAAGGGATCTGAATGTGTGGGTCTTGCATTAGAAGGAAGAGGGTTTCAATACAAACTCATAACCTCCGACATTGCTCGATTTTGTTGTTGGATGAATGAGTTATGATAAAACCTAGCATGGAAGATGGAGTGGGGGGAGAAAGATAGCTTGGAAGATGGAGGGGAGAGAGAGAGCGCATTTCTGAAGCTGCTGCACGAAGAACAAATGAATGGGAGAGGCATAGTTGAGCATAAATGAAAGTTGTCCTAATTTGATCAAAATGCCCTTCCCTTACAAAGTTCGTAACTTATTCATTTTAACTCGTTATCACACCATTTGCGTCCACACGCTCATAACGACTGAGTACCAAAATCTTGGGAGACAATGTTTTCTAATACATGTCTTGAGTTCAGAGGTCCACAATCTTGGTAGAGTTCATGAGATTCTTTAAAGTGGTTATGGAGAACAATGACCAGGTTTGCACCACGGGTTTGGATATCCCGGATACTCGACCCTGAAAGCATGGTTATGGAGGACAATGACCAGGTGTGGGGTGGGTTTTGGGGATTCTTTAACGTACCCGAGTCGGATGTAAAGCGGTGGTGGTATTGCCATTCCTCAACTCGAAACCGACCCAACCCGGTTATAGCTGGTGGGTTTCTCCAGCGAATTTCATCCTTTTTCTGACGAATTGGGTCGATCTACCACTCCTAATCATCATCTAAACCCTTCCTACCATTCCCACAACAAATTTGAGGAGATTAGAGTCGAATTTGGAAAAAAAATGCACCGGTGCGTGCGACGGCTTCGTAGTGACAACCCATCAAATATGAAGGTAATTCCTTCGATCACCACCACCCATAGCATCTTTTTGAGACCTGGAACAAAGCCCAAACAAGTTTGAGGACGTCGGAGTTGCAATGGAGTCAAATTGAAGACACCCAAATTATAGGGTTTCGTTGGGTTTTAGCAAAATTGGAGCTTTTCTAGGCCAAATTAGACTTGGCCACAGGCGCCAATCATTCGGGATGCCTCGATATGCGTGCTAGTGAATCATAGTGTGGACTTCAGATGAGTGAATCTTTTCCTTTTTATCATATGTATATAGTTGATGGTTCCACAAATGCTTCTAAATTGATTTAAGCATTTCATGCCATGTCATATATATATATATATATGTATGTATATTTTTAAAGTGCTAATAGATGGTTGAGTTTAGAAGATGTCATAGTAGATCCATATACATGTTATCTACGATTAATTATTGTGAACTACGAATGGCTTGATCTCGATTTAGGGTACGTAGGCAGTTTAACGAGACGTTAGATGTAGCCATACAATAAACGAGACTAAATAATTAAGACAATTGCCTTGTTTGAGGAATTGAGTAGTGTGAGGGAGATTGGTGAAAAATGTGAGATTTAACCTTAGGTTTTGGTAGTTAAATGTTGGTCATAAATTAAGATGTAAAGAATCAAGAAATTGAAGTAAGGAAAGGTAAGTAGTGATAGTTAATTTAATTAGTATCTATTTGGACTTATCACTGATGATTACTCTCAAAAGTAAATAGTTCGGGAGTAGGGTGTTACAGTTATGCATTTCATGCCATTTGTAAATATGTTTATATATCTGGAAATATTATATATGGTTGAATTTCATATTTACATCATGGCATATTCATATGTATAGTACTTGAACCTAATTATTGTGAATGCTTTGAAGTACCAAATGATGCTGCGGACGTCCAAGTAAGCTTTAGGTGAGTACATGTTGACGATAGTGATAGTAGTGAGTATGATTGTGTTGAGATATGTTAGAGCTCATAAACCTGCACCTCGGTGTTAATGCTCCCGCCCGTGGCCAGGGCCTAGCCTTCATGTGATCGTTCACCTCCTGCACCACACGCTCACCATGGATCCAAGGTAGGTGCCAACCCGTTGTACAGACCACTTTAGGTGGTTCCAACTCGTAGGTGACTTGGTGGTTCCGACTCATGTACAGGATTTGGTAGATGAGCTATTGGCTAGCATATTGATGAGCTATTGGCTAGCATGTTATTGAGCTATTGGCTAGCATATTGATGGGCTATTGGCTAGCATATTGATGAGCTATTGGCTAGCATGTTATTGAGCTATTGGCTAACATGTTGATGAGTTATTGGATAACATGTTATTGAGCTATTGGCTAGCATGTTAATTAGCTATTGACTAGCATTGATTGATGAGAAATGGATAAGTCATACAAGTCACTATAGGTGACTCTGACTTATATGCTATTATTGATTGATGTGATATGTGTACAGTTGTACAGGTCATCATAGGTGATTCTGACTTGCATGCTAGTGTGGGTTATTAAGCACGTGATTATTTGTATTGCTACTAAGATGCTGGATAGTGGTATATTTCCGGGTTTACTATTAGTATACTTTTGATTTCATACTTTTACGTAGTATGATTTGTTGGAAATTACACAGGTTTTACGGCGAGGGGTTATTACCTTTGATAATGGAAAGGATTTTGAAAATCCTTGTTTCAATCACTCACTCACATTTTCTACTTATGCACCCCTCCAAGTACTAGCAACAGAGTTTTCATATCGACGAGGATTTATGACACTTCCCAGTACAGGTGGCTTCTTTTAATGGTATAATCATTATCTTACCTTATGGTACTATACCTATGCTCTGTATCACGCGTGAAATGGGTCCAGACTTGCTCACCGAGCACTCGTGTACTTAGGCACTTTTAGATTTTAATTTATTCATATTTTATACATTATCACACCTTATGGCTTCGTCACCTTCCTGGTTTCGGCCAGCACGCCTCGATTTGGGGTCTTAATGGATATTCGGGGTCGGAGTGTGTCAGGTGAACTTCAAGTAATTATCATAAACAAATGTCTATGGAATTTTGAAATGACATATGATGTTCTGTAAGAGGAAATGCGAGTGCCGTGCCGCATAAATAAACAAACTTGTAGTTGAGAAGTCACACTTGTGGAGCTTGCTCTTATTATGTCTATTTTATAATAATGATTTATATGAAATGAATTTACCGTGACGTTTTGATTCAATTATCATGTGAAAAAAACTTACACATGTGAATGTATTATTGTACGAAGACCAACAATAGCGATGACACAATTTCATACTTTTTGATCTAGTATTTCACAACATAAAGTAATTAATTGAAGACGGTGATTGTTTCAAATTTCAAAAGATGTCAAAATAAAGCTAAATAAAGATTATTCTAGAGGGAACAATATAAGATTAAGAATAAAAAAAAGAGAGGAATAAATCATTTTTTTAACAATCGATATTATATTTTAGGAGGAGTCAGGTTTGGCCGTATAATAAACTAGAAATAACATAGTTCAAATTCGTCTTTAACGAGAATCGAACATACGACCATCATTTATAAGTAAAAACGAATATCAATAAACTATAATACTAAGTAGCATAAATAAACCAATTTAATTCATGAAAATATTACTGTGGCAGAAAAAGTTAAACAAAGATAAGTATCCTCTTCTGATCCTCTCACACATCCTAATAATCTTATATTCTATCTATTCATTGTATATCGTGTGATCAACTTTAAAGCCGTTAAGTAAACCAATCGCAGGCTTACAGCAGTGCTAAGCCACTAAAAATCTCCCAATCGGTTAAGAAATCCCAATAATTCAAAGAAGTATAAATCAGCCGCTTGAAAAGGTTCCCCCACGAAGCTTCCTGGAAATTGCTATGGCAGTGCCTTCATTCCCACCATTTAACCCCCCATCCCTTCCTCTCTGCCTCCTATCTTTCCCTTTGTCTCTCCTCCTTCTCCATCTTCATCATCACCATTATTATCCTATCTCTCTCTACAACTTCTTCCCCCAGCTGGGTTTTCATCTTCAATCATGAAGTTCATCAAAATTAGCTCCAAAAATCTCAGTCCGAAACGCCTTTTCCCGTCTAAGAAGGACCGGTCCGCCGTATCTCTCTCCGAACCGCCGTCGTCCGGGTCCGAAACGGCGTCTGCCTCGTCATCCTCTTCCTCATACACAATCCACAAGCCCGGGGCCGGCGCCGGCGGTGTAACCACGCCCACCAGCGTTTTGCCCGAAAGATCGGGTGAGTGGTCCGAGTTTTCGGCTGATCTGCAGCTCGACATGGCGCAACCGTTTAAACTTATAGACCGAGACAACGATGGAGTGGTGTCGAGGAAAGAACTCGAGGCTCTTCTGTGCCGGCTCGGTAACGACCCGCAGAGTCGAGAGGAGGTGACGTTGATGCTAAGCGAGGTGGACCGAGACGGTAACGGTTCAATCAGCCTCGAGGCTGTGTTGAACCAGGTCGGGCCGGTTTCCGGTCCAGCTGCCGACTCGGAACTGCGGGATGCGTTTGAAGTGTTTGACACGGATAACGATGGAAAAATATCGGCGGAGGAGCTTTTGAGCTTTTTCAGGGCAATCGGCGACGAAGGGTGCACGTTAGAGGAGTGCGGGCGCATGATAGCAGGGGTTGATAAGAACGGGGATGGATTCGTGTGCTTTGAGGATTTTGCTCATATGATGGAGCTTCAGAGATGAAGACGATCCTGATGTTTTAGGCCTTTTGATTTTCTTTTTGTTAATTTCGATCGGGATAATGGATGTATGGTTTTTAACGGTATCTTGAAAATATTGAAATGATCAGAGGATCTGACGGCTTGGATTAATCAATCTCAAACCACATTTGTTCTCTTATCTTCTCTCTCTCTCTCTCTCTCTGTGTACTAACTCATCCGTCACAAAATTCTCTCTCTCTCTCTCAGTGTACTAACTCATCCGTCACAAAATTCTCTCTCTCTCTCTCAGTGTACTAACTCATCCGTCACAAAATTTGTTACTATAAAGATTTGTTGGAATCTCTCTTTCTCTCTGTGCTAACTCATCCGTCACAAAATTTGTTACTATAAAGATTTGCTTCCAACTAATGTATTGAAATTTAGAGTCCAGCTATCTAATATCCTCAACAATTGGCTTAAGATGTCAGGGAGGTTTCCAAACATCTAGCCCCCAATGGCGGATTCAGGATTTTAAATTTGGGGATTCCAATTACAAGGGTAAAAAAATTTATAAACAAAAATAACATTGAAAATTTAAATATAATACATTTCATTTAAAATCATATGCAAAACAATATTACAAATTATAAAATCATAATTCAAGTATTCATTACGAGGTTTCATAAGTTAATAGGAAATACCTAAGTTATTAATTATCTAATATAAACTACTAAATTTAAAACACCGGTCAAATAAAACTCTTCCAAAACTCCCACTATCTTTCTAACCAAACACACCATTTTTCTCTTTTACTAGTTTTCAAACATCCATATTCTCTCTCATTAAGAACAAAACTGCCATATCTCCATCAACCGCCTCCCTCCCCATTCTCCCGAAGCCATGGTAGCTCCACCCCCAAATTTCACCAACCCATGGCAGATCATATCCATCTTACTAACCTTATGAAGAAAATTTCACCTATAAGAAAAATTACTAAGATGGTTGAAATAATTTGGGGAAATTTGGGCTTATATACTACCCCCGCCAGACGATAGAGAAAGGTTGGAGGAGAAGTGGGTGGCACCGATGGATGAGACCATGACAAAAGTAAGGAGGAGAGAGGTAGGAAGGGTCCCTATTTTCTTTCTTCTCCGTGCGCGGTCATCTTCTCCGAGAAGAAGACAACCACTGTAATCTGCAACCTACAACCTGCATAGACCTCATGCTCGAGTACGAGGTGTCCCCGAAAAATTTATAGCAACGATTTAGGATCGTCGACGGGTCCTGAGACCTCCCAGGTCCCTATGTGGATCCGCCCTTGCTAGCACCACCTAAATGACCAACCTTGGTTCCTCTTTCACCATTAAGGTCATCACCAATGGAGAGGTTAAACGTCTAAAAGCCAAAAAATAATTTGATTTGCCCAAAAATTAATCTTCAATCGATGGTTAGGTTATAAAAATAGTCTATTAACTTTAACTCAATTAGAGCAATGGTCCATCAATTAAAAATTCATAACCATTGGTCTTTTACATCATCAAAATGTGCAGCTATGATCCTTTTTGTCAACTTCTTTAAAACTTCATTCAAAATAAGTCACGTGCTACGCACAAAAGGCTAAATCAAGGGGAAAAATATGAAAAACCAAATGAAAAAAAAAATTGTAGCGACTGTCCCTCAACTTTAATCCAATTGAAGAAATTGTCCCTCAACTTTAATCCAATTGGAGTAATGATCCCTCAACTTTAACCCAATTGTAATAATAGCCCTTCTAACATGAGTCATTTTTACAGAATTATGACAGAGTTGATAAAAATGACCATAGTTGCACGTTTTGATAAGTTAAGGGACTCACAGTCATGAATTTTCAGGTGAGTTACCATTGCTCCAATTAAATTAAAATTGAGGGATCATTGCAACAGGGCATCATGCTAGCAAAATTTAGACTCCTTGTAGCCCTTTTTTTGGCCCAACTCCTCATTTGCAATAATTGATTTAAATTTAACAGCTAGATTTGTAAACATTCAAAAGTAGTTTAATTAAATGAACTAATAAATTTAAAGTATAAACTTAAAACTATATTGAGGGGCTATGTTTTGCCCATTGGGTTGAAGATGGTATATGAGTATGGCTTACACTGTTTAACTAAAAGCAATTTTTTTGTAAAGCCATAATTCTGGATGGGCTATCTTTAGCCCTTTCGGTTTGATGTGGCCTAAGTTCTCCATACCTTTGCATTTGATGAACAAAAGCCCCTCCTTTAAAGTAATGGCCTCCGCAATTGAAATAGTATCTCCGTTGAGACTAAAAGCACCAGCTCCAACCAGTTATCCCTCCTCATTCCTTAGAACGAAAGCATCGCAACTTTCTCCAAATTGACCGATCCCATCAAAGTTTCGCTTTATATAACCATGTGCAAGGGAAGCAGATCTTGGATCTTGTCTGGATCCTCACAATCTATCAATTCATCGTACATTGTACAGTCAGAAATTATTATAAATTATTATTTAAATTAAATATAAACAGTACCTAACGAAAATTGACCATCTGATATACGATGAATAAATAAAATATAAAAATTCCTGAAATTCTCACAAAAAAGGAAAAAAAAAAGAAAAAAGTAAAAAAAAGCCTCATATGAGGAAGCCACTATGAGGTGCGGTTAATAAGATTACCCCTGAATATCTTCTCGAGTAGTAACTTATTTTTCGCTAAAAAGAAAGGAAAAATGGTGGAAAGTTGTGACCACTTTGGTTCTCCGAATGAGATCGGATTATATAGAACCAAATAAAGAAAACGATGCAAAGCTTTGGAATTTATCTAATGCATTATTTTTCATGGAAATTGCTGTCCCTTTTCCTCTCAATTTCCTCGTAAGTTGCTGTCCTTTTTTTGCCGTTAAATTTTGATATTAAATATGTAACTAGTAATTTAACGATTAAAAATTTCGATACATAAAAAAAACTCCGAAAGATACTAAAACATTGCAAAAGTTCGTTAATGCGGAGATCAACCACTGAGGCTAATCTGATTAGTGAAATAAAGACTAACTAAACTACGGTATATTGGTTTTCTTCAACTTGGATCGGTTTCTCATGCAAGATTCCTTGCTTAACACATACATTATCATTATATTATATATTTAAACATATATTTCTACATTTTTTTTAATACATCGATATTTTTACATGAAGGGAATGAAGAGTTTCTGCTAATCTACACAATGAGCAGCCTAATTTGGTATCAAATTTGTCATCTACAAGATTTGAACTTAAGATCTTTTACACATATATTTCTTTTATTTTTTAGTACATCGATATGTTTACATTAGGGAAGAGAGAGTTTCGCTAAGCCACACAATGGGCAGCCTAATTTGGTATCGAATTTGCCATCCACGAAATTCAAACCTAAAACTTCTTACTTCTAAACGAATAAGAATCCCACCAGACTGTAGTACTGAATAGCAACATATATCCCTGCTTAAAAGGTTGTGGTACCAACTATTTCATTTGACTGGTTAAAATAATAAGGGTATGTTACATTTTAACACCTTAACTTTGGATCCCATAACACACTTGTTTGGGCCCAAAATAATATTATTGGGCCGAGTGTAGGTTTATGTTCAGCCTAAAACTTTTTCAAATGTGTTATGGGCTGCCTGGTGGTCATAAGCCGCTCAGTTAGGGCGATCGAGTCCTATTGCAAGAAGGAGTGATTTGGACAAGAGCGGATAGGTCAAAATCCTAGTACAATAAGAAGTCCGAATGCAATGAGGATTCTTGGCCAGATGAGGAAGTTTAAGCTTGGAAATGAATGCGGCCTGAAAAGGGGGTTGAGTTCAAAGTCCTAATGGGAGTAAGATTGGTCGAGATAAAGTTGGATCAAAATAAGAAGTCCTAATCTGAGTATGGTTTTAACTCAATCGTAAGGAGGATTTGTCGCTATAAATAGAGAGCGGAGTGCACCATTCAAAGCCCCTATAATTAAACACACAAATTGCCCTGCGCAAACCTTTTAAACATCTTGAGATTTTTTTTTTGCCAACACACCTTCAGTTTGGATAAACAGCACTGTGATGGCAACCGGCGAACATCTTCAGTTTAGATAAACAGGACTGTTGTCGTAGAATCAACCGACCGAGTAGCACCTTCAGTTTGGATAAACAGCACTGCGTCGAGGCCGACTGGTTACCTATCCAAGTCTCGGTCGAGAAGTGTTTCCGAATCCATATTGGCAGAGGTCATTGATAGGAGCATATTTAGGCGACTTACTTAGCTTGTTTTCATGCATCTATGTTGTTAATTCATAGTTGTTTTAGTAGTTTAAGCCATTTTCGTGTGTTTTTAGGTTCATATGGCTAAGGAAGCAAAAAGATGCATTTTGGAGCATTTTGGAGCAAAATTGGGCTTGGAATGGATAGCATATGATTGGAGCCAAAGTGTTGGACGAATTTGAAGGCCTTGTATTCATTTTGGACATAAAACAAAGGGCCTAGCCCATTCTCTCTTAAACCAACCCCAAGGCCATGCATTTCCTTCCAATTCCAAAGCCCACAATCACTTCAAAAGCCATGCAAAGAACCATCCATTCCATCAAAAACAATCCATCAATTCACATGCAAAACCACCATTAACACACATGCACCCAAACAAAGCCAACCTAGCTAACCCTACATGCATTCTTTATGCAACTCTTCATCATTCCACCATTCATTCTTTATTCCACAAACAAGTCACATGCATTTCCACCTTCCTACTTCATCATTTCACCACATTCTCCCTCTTTAACTCATTTCATTATTCATTCATTTTGCATTCATTCAATTCCACCCTACATGCACCCTTTATTCTTCATCATTGCAACCATGGCACATTTACACCAACAAAATAACTCCCATGCCATGACCTACTCATATTCCCATTTCCTTTCCAACATCTCACATGCATTTCCACCTTCCTACTTCATCATTTCACCACATTCTCCCTCTTTAATTCCACATGCATTCACTTCATCATTACACCACCACTCATTCTTTAATTCCACATGCAATTCTTCATCATTCCTTCACACAAATGCTTAAACAAACATCCATATGTTCCCTCCACTCCTCCTATAAATACCCTTGCATTCCCATTCATTCAAAATCATCTCATTCACAACACAACACACCACAAACACTTCCATCTTCTCCCTAGCCAT